GGGAGGAAAGGGTTTATTTGGCTTACATCTCCCAGGGCTTCATCACTGAGGGAGCCCAAGGTAGGAACTCAGGGCAGGAACCTGGAGGCAGGAGATGAAGCAGAGGTCATAGGGAAACACTGCTTACTGACTTGGTCCCCTAGCTCATGCTCAACCTGATTGCTTATACAATACAGGACCACCTACCCAGAGGTGGCACCATCCACAGTGGGCTGGGCCCCTCCCACATCACTTAACAATCAAGAAAATGCCCCGCAGACATGGGCACAGTCCAGTCCAATGGAGGCAATTCCCCAATTGAGGCTCCCTCAACCCAGGTGTCAAGTTGACAACTAAAGCTATCCAGCATAGGGACTATATATGTTCCAGAGTCCTTGCCTAGAGAAAGGACAGCCAAATCAGTCCTAAAAATGTAAAAAGGTTTTGCTCAACAATGCACAGAAAAGCCCATTCTCTGAGAGCTCTAGTTGAAAAAACAGATGTTAAGAAACATACACGCAAGGTCAGGTGTGGTGGCACACGCCTTTAGTCCCAGCACTTGGGAGGCAGAGGCAGGTGGATCTCTGTGAGTTCGAGGCCAGCCTGATCTACATAGTGAGTTCCAGGCAGCTGGGGCTACAGGGAGACCCTGTCTCAAAAACACCAAACAAAAAATTAAGGAAACATACATGCTTATGTTTTATACTGATCAAATAGAATGAGATGATTGGAGAAATCAAAGGTTTTATAATAGCAAATCACAGAAAACATCAACCTGACCCTGTGGCTTGCTTGGACCCTGCTGCTCGCCTTCAGGCTCGCCTCTGTCCTCTGTCTTCTACACACACTCATCGCTCTTCAGCTGCCGGCAGAACATTGCTCCCCCTGCAGCTCAGCAGGACTTGCAGATTTCACACGGTCCCTTGCCGATTCCCGCAGAACTTTGATGACTTCAACATGAAGCAGGGCTCCTTCTGGCTGGTTTATGGTCAGGCCTCTTCTGGTCCCCAGAAATATATGATTATGTTTGGAGATGTAGCTCTAGGATCCTTGAAGTAGTCCCCCTTTCCCCCAACTCCAGCCAGCCAATAGGGCCCAGGGTCTCCTGATGTTTCCTAGGAGATAGTCAAGTATAGGCCTAGGAGAAGCTAATCTGTCCATGATGTCAACCTCAACGCCATTTAGAATGAAAACCCCAAGCCAGCCTGAGGAAGAGGTGTCTGCTCTGGTGGGATTCCACTTCACATTCCACCTAATTAGAGAATAATGTTTTATTCTCACCAGGTAACTAACAGAAGTTTTAAAAATAGGAGTTCATATGAGTAAATGATGGGGACAATGGGCTGGCCCTACAACAAACCACAGCCCCACGATCTCTCAACAGTCTCCAGTTAGGTGGTTGAACATTCCTAAGATTTGTGAACTGAGGGTTTGGCCCTCTAGGTAGAGCAAATCACTTACCCACTGTGGACCTGAGTTCCCATGTTGTACAGTTAGAAGGCTTGATCAGCTCAATAGTCTGTGATCAATGAGGACCATTAAAAAGGCTACTTCACCCTTTAGACAGTGATCTTATAGGTAGGTAGAGGACCCGGTACATCATTATACAAAGATCAGCCCTGTCATACCTAAACAAAAAAAAAAAAAAATGGAAAACGTGTCTTGACCCTTGACCTCTTTTAACCAATAACCTATTTTCCTGCTCCTCCTCTAAGCATAACCTTCCCAGATGCACTCACAGCCCCCTTTCCAGCCCTCTCAATTCTATCCATTGGCTGCAGTTTACATGGTGGATTCAGATGTGACTGTTCTAGAAACACTTCATTTTCCTGCCATCGGGACACTACCCTTTCTCATTGATCACTTCTTCTTATATTCCTTTCTTTTCTGAGTTTTACTTAGCTTCTAAATTTCAGACTTCTTGGGTTTAGCCTTGAGCTCTAATTTTTGTTTCCTGCAACATCTAGAATTCAATCCAAGCCCCTAACTCTGGCAAATAAGGCTATATGTTATCTACCCACCCACCTCCTACACACACCTCTAAATATAAGCTGTGCCACTCTTCAACTGAGCATGGTCCTGCATGCTTATTTCCAACTTTACACTGGCAGTGACCTCTACCTAGACCTACTCCAGACTTTTTGTGGTTGACTCCCTGCTGTCTCCCGCTTGGGAAATGTGGCTCAGGAAGGCCTACACTTGATTGGTGTAAAATAGCTGTCTACCATGCTAAGGTCACTCTGTTCTATTCCTCCTTTTCTCTATTATGCTTACTACCATCTAAAAACATTTCCTTAATATCTGTGTTTATCATCTGTGTTGTTCACCTAGAATGAAAATCCTTCAAAAACAAAAGGCCCCTTTTCTGTCTTACTCAGTGCTGTGCCCAACACCTTGGTACCTTATTGTTGCTGAGTGAATGTTTAAAGTGAAACATTTAAAGGAAGTGAATGGGGATGAGAGAAAGTACTTGGTTAATTCAGCATTCTCCCTTGGCCTTAGTGAGGTTCAAAATGAGGGTGAAATAGTTTTGACCAAATGCTTTTGAAATGGGGCTCCTTAATGAGATTTGCCAGTAATCATTCAGAACTGGTTTGTATTTTCTAAAGTAGCTCTTTAGGGCTCTGACACACAAAAAGCCCAGTAGGACAACTTCCTCTGTTCTGTTTTTACTCTTAGACTAGTGACTTACAGATGTGACTTACAGATGCACTGTTGGGCACAGATGTGACTTATAGATGCACTGTTGGGCACACATTCTCCACAGAAATGGCACAGCAGCCGTGGCACCTGTCCCTTTACAGGCCCAGCTATTTGGCATCAGCCAAAGCCTCCACTGTACTCCTACTGTTCCTCCTCCTAAGCTTGGAGGTTGCTTCCAGAAGGTCAGAAATTAGTCCTTTCCCTTTTTTTTTTTTGAGAGCAACCTTTTATTTATTTTATAATACTGCTTTGTTGTTGAGAATTTCGTACATATAGACAATTTCCCTGCTCTAACTCCCCCTATATACTTCCAACATGTCCTTCTCTGAATTTCATGTTTTGGTGAGATTTTTTTCTTTTTTTTTTTTTTTTAACTTTCTAAGCCTAGTTAGTGCTGCCCATTATGTGCATGGGTTAGGGGCCATCTACAGCAGCATGGGAAACCGCCTAGTGGCCACACGCTCAGAAAAGAATGACTGTGTCTCCCCCAGCAACTGCTCTCAACCTTGGACAGTGAAGCTTCATTTTGCAGTGAGCAGTTGTCAATGGAGAGATTCATAACTAGTCAAAGTGCTGAGACTAAGAGACCAACTGCTCAGCCCTAAATGGGACACCTACATCAAACCCCCCACTCACAGCTCAAGGAACATTGTAGGAGAGGGGGCAAGACAATGCAGAGCCAGAATAAGGAAGAGAGCTGTGAAATTCTGTCTCTGGATGTGACATGGCCAACGCCCTCATCAACTCACCACAGCTGTGGTTGCACACATAAGACCTGCATAGCTGTCCCTGTTCCATCCCAGGGACAGTCCAGTGCTTTTCAAGAAGTTGTAGACACTTTATTTATGAAGCTGCCCCAAAGTGAAATTTATTTTAAAAATAAGAAACCAGGCACATAGAACATAGAAACTGAATTTCCTCATGTTGTCACTTAAAGATGTTAAAATCGCCATCATTACCTTCTACCAATGATCACTATTTCTTCCTAAAACTGCAGTTTAGAAAAGGGAAGAAAGGGAGGAAGATCAGCAAAACCTTTGAATAAAATGCAGTTCTCTACCTCTCAGAATAGGCCCATCTCAGAATACTGAGATTAAGCTTGATGAAGAGATGTAATGGTTCCCAGCATCCTCAATTCACCACAAAGCTACAAAGACCTCACATAAGTGATATACAAATGACAGGTCTAGAGAATGATTGTCTAGACCCTTTAAGTCTCTGTCCTTGGCCTAAGGATAAGCTGGGAACTTTTCTTGTGAAACTATCTGACACTCATTCCTGGGCATCCCAAACAGCAGCACAGAGGAGAGCAGGGAGCCGGACAGCTTCCTGGATCAATCCATGGCCCATGCACATGTAGGATGACATAGTGCCAAGTCAGCGCTTGCCCAGTGTACACCCTGACTGTGTTTCAGGCAGATGATGGTCTCTGACCCTTGGCTCTCTAGCATCAGTGCTCACAATAGACAATATGGGAAAGGTAATGCATCAGAAACTTTAGGATGTTCATCTGAGCACAACGTTGTCACAAACAGCAGCACATAGTCTGTGGAACATTCCACATTTTGATTTTTGGACCCAGAAGCAGGGAGGATGGGAAGTTAATGCTTTTTACTTCAGGCCTTACACCAACATCCAACTGTTCATTTGTCAGTATAACCCTGATGATTGATTTGGTGATGGAAATGCCCTCTGCTAGAACATCCATTCTCAAACCTTTGCAAATGTTCTTGTGAGTTACATCAGAGGAGAGGAGAGAGCCTAACTCCCTTTCCACAGCAGCCACAGCCAGTGGAAACAGCATGTGTAGCGGGCAGAATGTGGACCTCCTCAGTGGCCACTGGGAGGATGTGGATTACATACTTTTCATAACTAGAGACTATAATTATCAGGGAAAGTCAAAGCAGTATGACTTCTGACACAGCTGTCTGAGCCATTTTCAGGCAGCAAAGTCCATTGAGAGAAAGAAAAGAGATAATTTTAACCTTCCAATAACTATAATTTCATATTGGTAAATCAAGCATAAAATTGGTAGTTGAACTGCTTCCAGGAGTATATTTGGAAATACTTTTATTTGTCTCTACATTATCCCAGAGTCTAGCTTCATGGACCACTGTCATGCCTATTCTACAAGATGTGTTTTCTGTGGATGGTGGTACTGTCTGCAAATGGTGCTGTTATTGGATGCTGGTTAAGAGGTGTTAGAAATGGAAAGACCATAACTAGCCTAATGGAAGTCAGTGAGGTTCGTTGACGTTAGTTAACAGACTTCTCCCTTGCCTCAAAATAATTTCCACTGTTTGTCTTCCTCAATTCAGGCATCATATCAACGTTTCTTCATGTCCATCCTTTTGGAGCCAACATAGAGTATCTTTGGTCATACATGCAGCAGCTGGACTCCAAGGTAAATTGTTTTCAATTGAACTTTCATTGCTGGAATCTAGCATGCTGATTGCTAGCTGCAGGTGGGCTCGGCATGAGCTGCATTAAGCCGGAACCGCGTGTGGTGTATCAGCGTTCCTCTCTCTGCAAGGACCTGGAGTTTTGGCAGACAGTTGTCTTCTTCTGGCTTACTTTTGTCATTATAGAAAGAAAAGTCTGTTATCTAAAATGACAACGACTGTCACTGTCAACAGATGCCAAATTACTTTGAAAAGTCCGTGAGAGATTTAAAATTACAGATTGCGGTGAAAGTTTCAGAAACAAGGAAGGAAGCAGGTAAGGGTGGCTAAGGCAGGTTCCTTAGCCCGTATTCTCACAAGATTCCATGTTAGAAAATTTCACACAGTAGAAGGAATACTTCAATAACTCAAAGATCTGATATGATGCTTGAAAAAAAATCTATTAATAGCTGTTTTTCAGCATTATTTTCTAAGTGGGAAAAATGACTGCATGATTACTGTTAGCCATACCCTCAAGGGTCACAACTAGAATCAGACATCATGCCATTTTTGTGGAGCTCAGTTTTCTCACTGAAAATTAGCAATGTTTGTATGCCAAAGGAGAAGAGACAGGAGAGCTCAATATCTGTATAGAAATCAAGGGAGCAACTGTGAGGGGGCACTGCTGATAAAGTGGTGCTCTTAACCAGGACTGCCTGGGGGAGCCGAAAGGGGCTCAACACAGAACAAATGGGAGAGTAAGTCACTGGAGCCTGAGAAACCTGCTGTGAGGGCCTGGGGCTAGGCAGAAGCTCCTGCATAGGCACGGAAGAGTGCAGGGAGCTTGCAGGACCAGACCTCGGCCTGCAGTTCTGTGACCCTGTAGTGAGAGAGGGAGCCCATTCTAAATGCTCAGTGGTTAGCATGGGTTAAATTTCTACGCTATCTGACACAAATAATTTTACCAACACATGATTGCAAAGCTGCTTATCTTTAAATGGACCTGACTCTTCCCCTTTGAGAGAATCATCTGGAACTCAAAGTGGTTTTCAGTCATAGAGATTTGTGTCTTTTTATGAAGGATGAAAGGAGTTAGGAAATGTTAACATTCTCTTTTAATTATATATTAGTACACATTAATTGCACATATGAAGGGGGTAGTATGGTATTTTCATACATACATGCAGCATAGATTGATCCCATCCAGCCACCCTTTTGTTTCTGTCCCTTCCCAATTCCTTGTAATTACTATTCTACGTTCAGGCCAACTGCTTTGAGTTTGCAAATATGAGTGAGAATGTGTAGTGCCTGCCTTCTTGTGTCTAGCTTATTCCACTTAACATGTCAAGATTTTATTCCTTAGAATCTGAATAATTCCAATACATACACACCACATTTTCCTTATTCATCTATTGACACCTAGGCTGGTTATGTGAGTTAGCTATTATAAACAGTTCTGTAATGTACTTGGGTGTGTAGGTATCTTTGTAATATCTTGACTGAGGTCTCTGGGTTTATACCCAGCGTGGTATAACTGGGTCATCTAGTTCTACTTTTAGTTTTGTGAGGACCCTCCGTAATGATTTCCACAGTGGATGTGCTAATTGACAGTCCCGCCAGCAGCGGGGTATAGGGTTCTTTGTTCTTCCATAGCCTCAGCAGCATTTGTTGTTTTCTGATGATGGCCACTCCAAATGGGGTGAGGTAGAATCTCAGTGTAGTTCTGATTTGCATTTCTATGATGGCTAAGGATGTTAACATTTTTTTCATATATTAATTGGCCACTTGTACTTCTTACTTTGAGAACTGTCAATTCCATGCATTTGCCCATTTATTGCTTGAATTATTTCATCTTTATTTTTTTAGTTCTCTGTTTTCTGGATATTAATACCATGTCAGCTAGATAGCCAGCAAAGGTTTCCTCCCGTTATGTAGGCTGTTGGCGCTTTCATTGTTCCCTTGGCTGTGCAGTTTTTAGTCTAATGTAGTGCCACTTGGAGATTTTTGTTTCCCCTGTTTTTAAGGTCCAGAAAAACATTACTTATACCAAAGTTCAGGCCTTACATTTACATCTTTTCATAGATGTTTGTACTTAGTGAAAGAGAAGTTTCCATCTTCTGCATTGTATCCCCTGTATTCTCTTGGCATGTTTGTCAAGAAGCAGACAGGCAGGCCCAGTGTTTTGATGCTGTAGCCCCGATTGTCATGTTGTCATCAACAAGGTTCATGCCCAAATGACTGCACATTTCAGTTATCAAACAATGTGAAAAACCTCAGTGTTTTAGGTAGGTTTGTGATTTTTGTCTTGGGCCACATACGGGCTGGGAGCTGGATATACCTGCAAGATGCATGGGTTTATTTCTATGATCTCTATCCAGTTCTCTTGGTCTATATGTTGCCTGTATGCCAGTGTCATGCTGTTCTGATTACTGTGGCTCTACAGCATACCTTGAAGTCAGACATTTATGGTTCTTTGTGCTTCCATGTGGATTTTAGGATTGGTTTCTCTAGGTCTCTGGAGAATGTCTTGGTATTTTGATGAGGATTTGCATTGCCTATAAATTGCTTTGGGGGGAGTATTATATTTGAATAATTCTTCTAATCCATGAACATGGGAAGTTGGTCCATGTTTGTTTCTTTCTTAGTTTCTTTTATCAGTAGTCTGTAATTTTCACTGTAGAGATTTCAACATCCTTAGTTAAATTCATTCCTGAATATTTTGGCTATTTATTCCTAAGTGTTTTCATGATTTCTCAGCAAGTTCATTATAGTCATTTTTCTGTGTTGATTTTGTTTCTAATACCTTACTGAATTTACCAATTCCTTAGGTTTCCATGCTTAGAATCACATCTACGAACAGTTCTGACTTCCTTCCTTCTATTCATATGCCTTTCCATCCTTTTACTTGCTAATTACTCTTGCTAAAACCTCTCTGAAAGTATTTTATACTGAATAAGAGCAATGAGAGTGGAAACCCATGTCATGTTTTGGATCTTAGATGAAATGATTTCAGCATTTCCCCAGTTTATATGATGTTGACTGTGGATTTGTGACATAAAGCCATCCCTATGTTAAGATATACTATCTAATCTATTCAAGTATTTTATTATAAAGGAATGTTGAATTTTATATGCTTTTCTGACTTATTGACTGATTGCTATCTTTCAGTATATTAATGTGATATATTGCATTTATTGATGTGCCTATGCAGAAATGGCTTTATTATCCCTGTAATAAAGATAACTTAATCATGGTAGTGATCTTTTTGGTGTGCTGCTGAATTCAATTTGCCGGTATTTTATTGAGATTTTTGGATCAATGTTTATCAGGGATATCGGTCTGCAGTTTTCTTTTTCTGCTATGTTCTTGTCAGGTTTTGGCAGCAGAATAATGCTGGCTGCATAGAATGAGTTTGGAAAGATCTTTGGATTTCAGTGATTTAAAATGGTTCAAGTTGATTTGGCATTAGTAATTTAAAAGTTTGGTAAAATTCAGTAGTGAAGCATGTGCTACTAGACTCTTCTTGGGAGATAATTTATTATTGATTCAACCTTATTATTTGTTATTGCTCTAGTTAGATTTCTTATGTCCTTTTGGGTCACTTTTGGTAGACCTTTTGTGACCATCTTCTTCCTAATTTAATATAGATACTTAATTATAGATCATCTAATATCTATATTGTATTGAACCTCACGAACTTTTCTTATAGTTAGCTTTTCAATTCTTTTGTATGCATTTCATCTATTTTGATTTTTTGGCATGTGCTCCTGAAGAGTTAGGATCTCTTAGAAGTATAATATTTGATTTTTCCATAGTGCTGGCTCCTACACTGAGATTCTACATGGATCAGCTGCTATTGTGATTCTAAAGTGGCCTTCTCAGCAGCTTTTCCCTATAGCTATGTCTTGACATGTCAATCTCTTACTCAGTGCTGGCTTTCCTTTTTGTCTGGGCATTGCATAATAGTCTCCCTATAGCTTGTTTGACTGAGTTCAGAGAGTTTGGCCAGTTATACTATAGCAAGTTTAGACAGACCCACTAGTCTCACTGTGTGGCTACACTTAAAATAGGAGTGGTATCCCCTGTCAAGTACTGAGGGGTCTCCTTGTGGAACTGGCAGCATCTGTAGTGATAAGGAGTCATAGTTTCCCTCTGACCAGGGCATACAGGCCCAGGTAGTACATGAGGAGAGACAGGGCAGAAACCACAGTGCCATTCTATGAAACTCGCACCCAGTCCTGACAACGTAAGTGGCCAGGCAAGGTGCTGCGCTGAATGAGAATGGGAGCCATGCAGGTACTGTGGTTCCTTTCTATTGCTACTGTGTGAGTGCCCACCAGAAGCCTCCAGCTATGCATGTTTGTGGACAGGGCATTTGCCAGGGATTTTCTTCCTCTGATCCCCTCCACTGTAATGACCATCACATAGCAGGCAGGAGCTAGGCCTCAGCCAGAACCTTCTCCAGATCCCCTTTGTCCCAGTGTACTTGTAGTAACAGCATGAGTTGCAGTGTGCAGGGCTGCCACAGCAGGCCCCTGTGGTCAGTCAGCAGAACCATAGAGCCGTAGTGTTCCCTCCTGCTCTGGTGGTAAAGGTAGAAGTCTGGGAGCCAGGTACGAGGGAGGGTGGTGGGAACCACGTGGACACTGCTGTCAGTGGTGGCATGGGCCTGAATGCACATCAGCTGGCCACACCCAAATCTCCAGGGCCCCAAGGACAGTGCCCTGTTAGAAGATAATAACGTATTCCCTCACACAGGAACTAGCAGGCACTCTTCGCTCCCACTGCCACCCACACAGCCTTCCCTCGCCTCAGGAAAGAACCCAGCCGTGCTGCCAAGTTCTGTCCTCGGTCCTGAGGTAAATGTATCAAAAAAGGACTTTGACTAAAGCTGCTGGTGTCAGGGACTGGACTCTATACTCTTTCTACCCCAGTGAGGCTACAGGGATATTTAGGCATTTTAATTCAGAGAGAAAAGTATTGCTGAAGACTGGAATTCCATATCCTTAGGGCATTAAGCAGA